CTGAATAGTGCATTTCAATTACAAATGACTTTTATCTTTTCCCTTTAAATTGGATAATTGAATATCTTAAAATACTGGATTCAAGAGTAAAACTTTTCTTTTGAAATACATTATAATTCATGTTTTTCACTGATTCAGCCTGCACATGAACATCCTAAATTTTAACTCCTGTGAAAAATGCAATCCCACAGTTGAGGACTTTGCCACAGACAAGGCTACTGCATTCACATGCATCGCAAGTCTTCAGAACAGGTGAGTAACTATAAGAGCAACTTGTTTGTTAAACTCAGGCCTTGACTTAAAATAGGAAGTTCTTGTTCCATTCTACACCACCTTCTACCGCCACCCCTCCCCATCATCAAGACATTTAAAGAACTCAGTTTGTATTCAGTTTATAGGACAGTCCTCTTTAAAACTGAATTGTGAATAAAAAAAAATTATCTTGCCAAACACATACGTCAATCCAATTCCAAAGGTTAGTATCACATATAAACAAATGTTAGCTTTGAATCAGCTATGTTGATTTAGTACAGTCGGATTTTAGATCAGTTTTATCAATGCTGGAAACTGATACAAATCAAATAATCTTGCAAGATCTTGAAGAGGGCTACTTTTGCCCAAGGTGGTGACAGCATTCCAGTCTCTTTTCTTTCCCCAGAGTATGTCTCACACTTTGATGCTAGTATGAAAATGTTGAGAGCATTTTTCTTCCCCCTCCTATAAAGTCATAGATCTGTGGGCAAAGAGTGCTGTGGGGTCATGATTCAGGCTTCATTCCCACCCCCTCCAAATACACACTGGTGAAAGATACTTTTTACAATATTTTTAAGCAGAATTAAAATGACAAAGGCATTCTCTAAAACAAGTGAACATGAGAGTGGACCTAACAGATGAGACACACACTGGATAAGAGGGCAGAAACTATAGATGATGTGAAGTCCAGGACTAGAAATAGGTAGAAAGGTACCTGGAAGGTAAGGAAGCAGAACACACCCTCATAACGAAGGCCCTGACCTGGGCTTGGTGGGGAGCATGGAGCTGAATGTATGCCCTGCCTGGAAGAGAAGACTGATAAAGTTCTGCACCCTCTTCCTTTTGCAGAGCCAAGTACCTGAGCTGGCAGGACAGAGCAGAGACATGGGGTCTACGCCATACTGGCTGAGTGACTAGATTTTCAATATCCTTAAAGTCATGAAGGGCAATTTGGACTAGGGGGCTCCTGAAGCCAGATTATAGCAAAGGCAAAACTTCAAAAACAGGATAATGGAATGCAGAAAGAAAGAAAAAGCAAAACAAAACATCACCTACTAAAGATGGAAGAACAAACTAAAATCCTAAACCACAGACGGAAACCACATTTGTGCAAACAAACTCATTAATTAGGACACTACAACCTTGTTGAAATGCAAATCAAAAAATGACTGTTATATTGTCTAAGATCAAGAGAAAAAAGGAAGAATTACATTCACAAAAAGAAAAAGAAATTAGCAAGATATGAATGGCCAGATATAAAAGTCAGACATGATGAAAGAATGGTTAAAAACTAAAACTGTGAGAAATTCTAGAAATGAAAAATACAGGTGTTGATAGAAATATCAGCACAAAAAATCAGTATATAGGATACTCTAGACGAGATCTAGTCTAACAGAGAATTAGTGAATCAGAAAACAATTATGAAGAAATCATCTCAAATGCAGCAGAGATTCATAAACTGATGACCAACACAAAAGAGAAATTATAAGACATTTAAAGTAAATTAGGACATTCCAATACTCATCTCTCAGGAGCAGAAAATAAAAAAGAATGCAAGAGGATCAATATTTAAAGAACTAATGACTGAAAAAAATTCCTTAACTGAGTAAGTCATGAGTTCTCATATCAAAAGCATATTCTAAATTCTTAACTGGATAAAGAAGAATATATTTTGTGACTCAAACAAAAGTACTGAGCTTAACACAGTGTCGAAAACATAGTAGTTTTCTTTTTTTTCCTTTTTTTTAAAACATTTTTTATTGATTTATAATCATTTCACAATGTTGTGTCAAATTCCAGTGTAGAGCACAATTTTTCAGTTATACATGAACATACATATATTCATTGTCACACTTTTTTCTCTGTGAGCTACCATAAGATCTTGTGTATATTTCCCTGTGCAATACAGTATCATCTTGTTTATCTATTCTACAATTTTGAAAACCCAGTCTAACCCTTCCCACCCTCCGCCCCTTGGCAACCACAAGTTTGTATTCTATGTCTGTGAGTCTATTTCTGTTTTGTATTTATGCTTTGTGTGTTTTTTTTAGATTCCACATATGCGTGA